GCCATCATAACCTCAAAGATTGCCATTCACAAACTTCATGTTGTACATGTAACAAGAAACATCACACTTTGTTACATTTCCCTGCACCTCTTGTTAATCAAAATCATTTTAAGCCTGTCAATCCAAATGCGTGTTACCCACATGAGCCTACTCAAACCTCAATGACTTCAACTTCACAAGATCACTCTCAGTCACCTTTTAAAAACTCCACTATACTCTTAGGAACTTTTTTGATAAAGGACACTTCAGTTCAAGGCACATCTCATGAGTTCCGTGCCTTACTTGACTCCGGTTCCATGTGTGACTTAATCACCGAACGAGCAGCTCAACTTTTAAACGCTCGACGCTACAAGTCAAATGTTCAACTTTCTGGACTTGGCAAAAATGCTGCTAAGAGTAACGGGCAAACTTACCTCAATCTTGAAACTCTTTCTGGATGTCTCATATCTCCGCAACATCCAATGCTCATTTTAGACAAATTGACTGTCGACTTACCTCGTGTTCCAGTCTCTCCGGAAGTGTTATCGCTCACTAAACGGTTTTGTCTAGCTGATCCATCATTTCACCTGCCAGGACGCATTGATATCGTGCTTGGTTGCTCTCTCTTCCCTAAGTTACTAACTCATGAAAATTACTCTCTAGGCCAACATATGCCCCACGTAATAGGAACTCATTTTGGATACATCGTGATGGGTTCTGCACCCTGTGAAATACCAAGAAATTCCATACCACAATCTACAAATTTCATTAGTCACACCGTCTCCCTCCATTCATCCAATGATGTTGACCTTCATTCCTCACTTCAGCAATTCTGGACTCAGAATGAACTTCCAAATTGTCAAAAGAAAACTGAAGAAGAAGAACTCTGCGACACAAACTTCGAGTCTACGCACACCAGAGATTCTGAAGGACAATACATCGTTCGTCTTCCCTTCAAGGAAGCTCACTCCCCTCTTGGAGCGTCTCAACCGCTTGCTGAACGCAGATTCCACTCTCTCGAGGGAAAATTCTCTGTCCAACCTCGCTTCTCTCAGGTTTACCACGATTTCATAGAGGACTACATCTCTCTGGACCATATGACCATATGTCAAGATTCCCTTCTTCCCTCTTCGCACTACTTTCTCCCTCACCACGGGGTTCTTAAAGAGAGTAGTAGTACACCCAAACTCCGAACAGTATTTGATGTTAGCTCAAACCCAAGCAACAGGGTTTCTCAAACTCAAGAACTTGTTCCCATTGACTCTTGGCGACACATATTAAGTACTGATAATCCTGCGTCAAGAGGAATTTCTGCTTCTCTCCTTGTCAACCATCCGCTCTGGTGGACAGGCCCTCCTTGGCTCAAGCTCCCCACTTGTTATTGGCTTACCTCGCACTTCACTCCTGAAGACCTCTCTTCGTCAGAAGAAATGAAGAAAAGAAAACACCTTTAGTTGTTCTTACATCAGCTCCTCAAAAGGAGGGGGAACTTCTTTCTGCATACTCATCGTGGAACAAACTCCAACGCATTGTCGCTCTTCTTAATCGCTTCATCCACAATTGTCGTCATCAAAATGACCGCCTCAGTGGTCCTCTCTCATCGTTTGAAATCTCCAAAGCTCGTCTCAAGATATTTCATCATTTTCAACAAGCCACCTTTGCAGATGAAATAGTGTCCCTGCAAAAGAAGCGTGACTTTTACACCAGACTACAACGTGAAACACCATTTCTTGACTCTGGTTAAAGCACTTCGTTGCTTTAAGGCGGGCAGTATGTTCAAGACTTTTTTCCCCTTGATCTGCATTTAACATGTGTATATTTATTTATCATATGTTATTATTTCTTTCTGTTCACTTTTTTATTACATTGTTTTTATTGCTCAAGTCAACGTGATTTCTTTTTTATAATGTTAATTTTACCATTTCCCAATCCAACATTGGATGGAATGGATGGATTGGAGATGGAATTTTGCGTGTTGGTGGTCGCCTCAACAACTCATCACTACCTTCAGATGTTAGACATCCATTGCTGCTACCTAGGAAGCATCATGTTGTTGACCTGCTAATAGACCATTTTCATGTCACACATCTCCACTCTGGACCTCAACTCACTCAAGCTGTGATCGCTCAATCCATTTGGATTCTTTGTGCACGTAGCATTATTCGCTCACGTATATTCAAGTGTGTTACGTGTTTCAGAAATAAACCACGCAACAACACCCCGCTGATACGTGATCTACCCTCCTCTCGCATCACTCCTGCTCGGCCATTTCTCTCTACAGGAATCGACTACTGTGGACCCTTCACAATTAAAAACTTAAATCTCCGTTCTGTAAAACACGTAAAAGTGTATCTGTGCATCTTCATTTGCATGGTGACCAAAGCTGTCCACCTCGAAGTAGTTACAGATCTCACCACTGATGGATTCTTAGCTGCTCTAACGCGCTTTGTTTCCCGCCGTGGACTTTGTGCGGACATTTATTGTGATTGTGGCACGAATTTCGTCGGTGCTGACGCAGTTCTTCGTAAACTGGCTAAACCTCACCTCACAACTCCTCAAGCACAAGACACTATTCAACGTTACGCTGCTACTCGTGGAATCAAGTTCCATTTCAATCCTCCTGCTGCTCCTCATCAAGGCGGACTATGGGAAAGCGCAGTGAAGAGCGCCAAACATCATCTACGACGTGTAATGGGTGAAACAGTTCTCATTCTTTCAGAATTCATTACGCTCACCACTCAAGTTGAGGCCATGCTTGATTCCAGGCCACTAACTCCGCTCTCAAGTGACCCAGCTGACCTTTCAACTTTAACTCTCGGTCACTTCCTCATTGGAACATCACTGGCATCCGTTCCAGAGCCTTACGTCATGGATGTGCCAACAAATCGCCTTAAACATTGGCAATTAGTACAGGCTTTCCTTCTGTACATTAGGAGGAGTTTGCATATTACAAAATGCATAAGAGTCGACATATAAGAGCTTTGCTCGCTCCGCTCAATCAAGTGATGGTTGCCAGATTAAGCACAAGGTATATTCTTTTACCTTGAGATATTCTTTGAGATTGACTGATCGTTACTTATCCATTTTTGTAGAGGAAAGCAGCCTGCCATGGAGAGGTTATTGAACCTTGCGACCTCAAATAAACCTTTAATTGAACCTTGAGGTTATTAATTAAGATTTACATGAGCAATAACTCCTATAATGTAATTAAGTGCGTACGGTACTTTAAGCACTTGTACAATATGTTTTTAACCACTTTTACTAATTTATGTATTTTTATTTTACAAAATAAACTGCTCTTTAATGAAATACAAAGTTTTTTTAATCTTAGTTTAATATTAACTGCCTTGTTTTAAGGCACTAACATGAGGAAAAGGTAAATTTTCAATGTTATAAATTTAAACTGATTTTACTTAAAAACTGTTTGAGATAGAAAAGAAATTTAAATACAAAAGATGTACTAACAAGTACTGGACTAATGAATGTCCATCAAATTTAACATCTAAGCTTTTAAGAATTGAAGGGTGTTTAGCTTTTACAGACCAAAATATTAAGTTTTACACAGTAGATTTTCACTGGAAACTGCTTTAACCCCCCCCCCCCTAAACCCCCCTTGAATCCCAAATTTCGCAAAACCCTGTCTTATCGCACATCCACACCATATATCTACACCTTATACCAAATTTGATAATTCTAGGTCGTATATGTTTTGAGATATAGTGATCATCTGTCAGTGAGTCGTATTTGCCTTTTATGGAGATATAAAGTGTATTAACTCCATGATGGATGTTACAGTCCAACCTCAGTATAACGAATCTGAAGGGACCGAACTGAATATTCGTTATATCAAGGATTTCGTTAAAACGAGGTTCGTTATATAGAGGTTAGGTTTGCAGGAATTTCGCTAAGTCGAGGTTCAGAACCAGCGTCGGTGTATATAGGTCGGGATTTGACCTCATTAAAATAGAATTAAAGTAGCATAGGCTACAATACTTTACAGTACAGTGTTTACATTGTACAGTAGAACCTAAATTATCCGGCATAATAAAGGGGAGGGATCTTGAATATTGCGCAATAATGACAATGGCATTGACCTTGGTACAGGTTAAAAGCTGTAAGTTTAAAATCACAGCTTGTTCTAACCCTCCTAAAACCTAGCCAAACACTGTACTGTGTATTCATAAACCATGTAAAGAACAAAACAAAACAGTACAAAGTTTTGTAAGCTACTGCTCGCGATAGGCCGGTAGGCTACTTACAGTACAGTACTGATTTATCACAACAAAGGAATGTCAATAATAATCATTAACTATAGCATTGGTGTTGCTAGTTGAAACAAATTGTATTGAAAACAATAATTTATTAGATAAGTCATTATAAAAGTGTATAATCATAGCCAACTTAAGGATAACAAAAACACTTGTAAAAGGAATGTTAAAATAACGATGTTGCTATTCTTTCTCTTTGGTTTTGTTTTTATATTCTTTCTTAGGTTTCTCTTTATCCAAAAATTGTACAATTCACCATAGTTATCCCATATCGCCCAATCACAGCTTACTAAACATTACGTCGTCATCAGTCCTCAGTGAATGAAATCAGTTCTCAGTTGCAACATAGCGCGCGCAGCGACAGCAGTAGATGTAAAACGGAGCAGACGAATGTTAGCGCAAGCGATGATGTGACCTTTCCATTTAATTTTATAAAGAAACAGATTTTCCCAAAACAATAATTGGGTGGGGGATTTGTTATATCGAGGGAAAGACGTAGACAATTCGTTATGCAGAGGTTGAATTCGCAATGTAGAGGTTCTGACAATGATAAATTCGTTATATTGAGGTGTCTTATTTTAGCCGAAATCACAAAAAATTTGTTAAATCAAGGCCGTTGTTATGGTTTGTTTGTTATGTAGAGGTAAAATATACATTGTGTCTTATGGAGAGTTCTAGGGGATTAAAAAAAATTCGTTATATCAAGGAATTCGTTATATTGAGGTTCGTTATATCAAGGTTAGACTGTATTACCTTGCAATGCCTTTCCTGAGAGCTGGAGGACAGTTCTCAAAGAACCAAAGAACACGAGGAGAGCAGAATCTGCTATTGGAGGCCCATTCTGTGCTTACTCCTGCAATATTACCCAGCACCTCACTCAACTTTGGCGCCAGCTTCAACCTACAAGTCACCATACAGTCTTATATAATAGCCTAGAACAATGAATACTATTACCTATGTTATTGACACCTCTAAATTGAATAAAGGCAAGGTCTTTACGGATGCATTGCACGACGTCCAAGTGCCACGACGTCCAATAATATTTATTCAGTGCCACGACGTCCAAAACATAATTTTTGAGTTGTTGCACGACGTCCAAGTGCCACGACGTCCAAAAGTACAGTAACTGCCAAAAATATAGTCTTTCTACAAGCTTTGGACGTCGTGGCACTTGGACGTCGTGAAACAGCGCACTATAGAATTGTAAAAAAGTAACATTTGCACGACATCCAAAGTCGCTGCCAGTTGCACGACGTCCAAGTGCCACGACGTCCAATAAATATTTGACTGTTGCATGATGTCCAATATAGCTCAGCGCTGTTGCATGACGCCCAAGCTCCTTCATGATGACCGGTTACGATGACCGGCTACTTGCCGAACAGTGTTCTCTTGTGTAAAATGCTTATGGAACGTTTATTAGTTATATATACATGGGTATATGTTCTTGTTCAGAAATATAAATACTATGAATATTTGAACCATTAATTGAAACATCATAAAGTAAAAAAAAAAAACATAATATAAAGGAAAAATAAACAAGGCAACAGTTGGAAAACTATAAGGTTTACATGGTTTGAAAAATGATGACATTTTGTTAACAACCGATAAACTTCATTATGTTTGGAGTAAGCTTTTAAATACTTATTTTTTCAAGACTAGATGAATGTACATTGATCAACATGATCTTTGAAAACTATTTTTTATACCCTCATTTTAATTTTTACTAGTATGAAGAATACAATTCCTTTTTCAAATTGTTTTTTAGGCTTTAATTAAATGTTCTTAGGTCCAAATATGTTTATTAATAGTATTCACTTAACATTGACTTAATTTTATTTCAATAAATTTTGTGTTTGTGTTTTGCTACACCACTTATTAAATTGCAACCAATGAGAATATAACATAAATAAGTTGTACACAGGGTTCTTTTGTTTCCCCAACTCTAAAATACAACGCACATGAATTGAAAATGTTGTAGGTTTAATAGTACTGTAGCGAATCGAATATCAATAAAGTTAACGTATAACAATTAATTTACATATTCCTAGGCTATAATTGAATGTGTTTACGAAGGAACACCACAACCTCAAAATTCAACAGTATATTTACTCAAGATTTATTGTTTTCATATAGCACAGTTGATGTTGTCAACTAGCGTGGGAGCGGAAGTCCTGATAAAGGCTGGTTCTCGGAAAAGTAATAAACTTGTAGTTTGAATGAAACATTTTTTTAAAATTTTGTACAGGATTCATGGGATCCTCAGCATCAAGTACAAACTGCAAAATGTGTGTCGAAGGTCTGATTAGACCTTCCGAGATTTAGACCTTCAGCAACTGATCCGTTTTTTACCTTCCTTTAATTTATTCTTTATCATGTTGTGCTTCATGTCACATACATAGACTAGAGGGCCGCACATGCCCTTGACAAATAAATTAACATTTTCGCACAAATACAAATCAATATCGTCATTAGACAAGAATTAAAAAATAAAATTTATAAACAAAACCTACCACGGCATATTCTTGAACAAGTATGCCTACAAACCTACGATAAGCATGTTTGTTATTATTATACTTAACCTACAAATGCTATGACTTAGGGCATATCTGCTTTCCTAGATAAAACATGCGAACTAATTGCGAGTGCGACGTGAACTTAGAAAAAGACTAGTAAGAATTTACAACTGTGAATTTCTCAGAATTGATTGACAGTTCAGACGAACCTATGGCCACAGACTACGGAAACCTACAGTATTATTGTATTAGTATACTGTATTTGTATTATTGTGTTACTAGCAGAGTACCCGTCCTTTGTACGGGGTTGACATATAAGTATAAATGCTTATTGCAGTTATGGGAGAGGACACGATTAAAAAAAAAACTGGTCTTTTAATTTATACGGTATCCTATTGTGTAGCACACATCTACCATAGTCCTGATGTTCTACCACTGCACCTAAACCATGGAAAAAAGTAAAGTTCTCATTGTGTACCACAACTTTTTTTTTGCTAGTTGGTTCAAATTAGCTGTGGTCATTAATGCAAACAAACAACATAATAGTGCTGCACCCTGTTTGGCAAGCCTTATAACTTTTTAATGCTGTTTAATATCATAGAACCAACTTGTACAGTTGAAATGGCTGACAAAATTCTTTAATTTCTTTAAATATGAATACTCATAAGGTTAACATGAGAAAGTCCAGAGCCAGAGCCACCGGGGCGGAGACTGAAAGAATTGTTGAGGTAAGAATGGGTCGCCGGAATTTTATCCCCCTGGAATTTTACCCCCTGGGCAAAGCTGACGTCACTATGACGTAGTAACCTGAGCGGCCAAAAGTTTGTTCGCGGCCGGAATTTTACCCCCGCGGATTTGGAAGTCTAATGAAAATAGCCAGAGCGTGATTAATTAGATTAGCGATAAAAACCGGAATTTTACCCCCTGTCCATATAACTAGCGTATAGACAACTGAAGATGTACGGGCCGGATTTTTACCCCCGGATTTTTACCCCCCGGAATTTTACCCCCAGATTTTTACCCCCCGGAATTTTACCCCCTGGCCGATTTTAGAAATTGAATTATTGATTTTCTTATTTCTGTTTTTAATTAATTGTAAATATTTCATTATTTAGTAACCTATCTTTATTTATTTATTTTTTAATCTCATCTAAGTAAACAGAATTCGCTGTTTTATTTTGATCATATTAACCAACAGTTGGCTTCAAAGATCGAATCATCATACTCGAATCTCAAAATTAAAATTAAAAACTTGTTCGATTAGTTAATGTTACAAATAAATTAAGATAGGCTACAATACTGAATAATAAAATGTTTACTCTTAAATTAAAACTGAATGAAGATAATTAATCATTCTCACTAATTTATATATCTGGCAAGGGGGTAAAATTCCGGGGGTAAAAATCCGGGCTGTACATTCTAGTTTTTTATAATTTGATGTGTTCTGATTAAATTCACAACCGTGAAAATATATGTTTAATTCCGCGTTTAATCCATCGAGCTGATGTCGCGAAACTCAAAAGTTCGCGGCCGGAATTTTACCCCCTGGTTTGTGACGTCACGTTTGGCCAGGGGGTAAAATTCCAGGGGGATAAAAATACGCTACCCCTATTGAACATCATAGAACAGAACCAACTTGTTTAATTGAAACAGCTGTTAAGATTCATTAATTCCATTTTTCATAAGGTTAACATGGGGAACTCCAGAGCCACTGGGGTGGAGCTGATTGGACGGGTCACGAAATTGATGGTGTATAAACCTATTCCATGAAACTTTACAATTATGTACCAAGTTTCGTGGCAATCGGTTCAGCGGTGTCTGAGTTTATATACAAACATCCTCTTTTATACTTATAGATAGATAGATTACTATTATAGTATTATATATTGTCTGTGCTATGGCTAAAATATGTTTTTATTACTGCATCAGCTGGAGACACTCTCTGAATATCTGCTTCAACCATGTGTTGTCAAACATTGATCTCGTAAAATAGTGAAATTATTTTTCGTATGCACTAATAGAGCAAGGTTTGTACTAAAAGAAAACCTTCTTTTAGTTTTAAAAATACATGTTTCACAGGAAACATTTTTAACCATTGTAGTAACATCATTATAGCTTAAAAAGTTGATAAGTGATAGTTTACATAATATTTAGCACATTTGACGGATAAACCTTTTTTGAATTCGTCATATTATAAGTGTATGAAAATTCATATATCTGTGTATCAATATCTACTTATCTCATTTCTGTTCAATGGAAGTTATACAATTTCAATGATTACCGGTACTTAAATGGGAAGTCTTACAGCTGTTATAAAACTGTGCATACATTTTATCTTACGAGTAAATTTGCTACCAATTGATATAGTATGACAATTCTATTCTACTGCAGTACTTAGAATTCTACCACTACTCACATTAAACCTACCATATTTACTTTTGGGCTAGTGATTAATTTATTGTATTAATCATACAATATAGTGAATAGTGTAGTCATTTATTTATTTCGTTTCTATGACTTAGCTCTATTTTGTAGAAATCTATTATGCAATCATAACAACAGAAATACTGCATCATTACATTTTAAGGTGACATAGTATTTATTTTACATATAAAAATTTAAGCTAATGCAATAATTAGTTCAATTAGAACAATTGATTATTGAATAATTTAAACATTAATCGAAGACGAAGCGGTTGACAACTTTCAAACAGTTGATTAGGCCTAGTTGCCTTCAATAATTGCAATGCGAACTGTATGCACTGAGGTCGGCATACAGTGTTCACAGTGTGCAGGCACTTTGGACGTCATGGCACTTGGACGTCGTGCAACAGTCAAATATTAATTGGACGTCGTGGCACTTGGACGTCGTGCAACTGGCAGAGGCTTTGGACGTGGTGCAAATGATACTTCTTTACAATCCTACAGTGCGCTGTTTCACGACGTCCAAGTGCCACGACGTCCTAAGCTTGTAGAAAGACTATATTTTTGGCAGTTACTGTACTTTTGGACGTCGTGCAACAACTCAAAAATTATGTTTTGGACGTCGTGGCACTGGGAAAATATTATTGGACGTCGTGGCACTTGGACGTTGTACAACACTCCCGGTCTTTACACTATGTAGTGATAACCTATAGTGATATCAAGTAAAGTGTAAATCAAAAGAAATAAGGAAGCAACATTTAAACCTCACATTTTTAATAGGCCTATTAGTTTTAGATATGTTTCTTAAAATGTTCACATAAATGTTAACGCTAAAGGATGAATAAACATACTGTACTTGATTGACATACTGTCAATCATCAAGGACATTATTAAATAAAATGATCATGGCTAAACAACCAGCTCATCATGATTAATTATTAACAAAGCAGTCATCTCATTCATT